CCGCCGCCCCCCGAATCTGTATACATTATATTGCCCAAGTAATATTTGTCCCCGCCTCCCCCCCCCCACAGACTATATTGCCCAAGTATTGCCCGCCTGCCCCCCCGTATATACACTATATTGCCCCAAGTATTGTCCCCCCCCCCCCCGTATTTACACTATATTGCCCCAAGTATAATCCCCGCCCCCCCTGTATATACATTTATTGCCCCAAGTATTAATCCCCGCCCCCCGTATATACACTATATTGCCCCAAGTATTGTCCCCCCCCCCGTTATATACACTATATTGCCCCAAGTATAATCCCCGCCCCCCCCTGTATATACATTATATTGCCCCAATGTATTGTCCCCGCCACCCCCTGTTATATACATTATATTGCCCCAAGTATTGTCCCGCCCACCCTCCGTATATACACTATATTACCCCAAGTATTGCCCCCCCCCGTATATTACACTATATTGCCCCAAGTATTGTACCGCCCCCCCGTATATACACTATATTGCCCCAAGTATTGTACCCCGCCCCCCCACCCCCGTTGTATACACTATATTGCACCGAGTATTGTCCCCGCCCCCCCGTATTTATACACTATATTGCCCCAAGTATTGTCCCCCCCCCCCCGGTATATGCACTATATTTGCCCCAAGTATTGTCCCCCCCCCTATATACACTATATTGCCCCAAGTATTGTCCCCGCCCCCCCCCGCCCCCCGTATATACACTATATTGCCCCAAGTATTGTCCCCGCCCCCCCGTATATACACTATATTGCCCCAAAGTATTGGGCGGCCACACACATGACCTTTAATGGCCTCCCAATCTTAGACCCTAGGGTTCATTGAGTTGGCCCCGCCCTTTCCCCCACACATGACCTTTAATGGCCCCCCAGTCTTAGTCCGTAGGGTTCAATATTGAGTTGGCCCCCGCCCTTTCCACACACATGACCTTTAATGGCCCCCCAGTCTTAGTCCGTAGGGTTCAATATTGAGTTGGCCCCGCCCTTTCCACACACATGACCTTTAATGGCCCCCCAGTCTTAGTCCATAGGGTTCAATATTGAGTTGGCCCCGCCCTTTGCAGCCTTCTGGGAAGGCCGCCCACAAGGTTTAGGAGGGTGTCTATGGGAAGGTCGGATCATTCTTCCAGAAGCACATTTGTCAGGTCAGGCACTGATGTCGGGGGAGGAGGCCTGGCTCGCAGTCTCCGCTCAAATTCATCCCAAAGGTGTTCTATGGGGTTGAGGTCAGGACTCTGTGCGGGACAGTCAAGTTCCTCCACCCCAAACTGGCTCCTCCATGGAGGAGACAATGGATGGGACCACAGAGGGGACAATGGAGGGGACAACAGAGGGGACAACAGAGGGGACAAAGGAGGAAACAATGGACAATGGGGGACAATGGAGGAGACAATGGAGGAGACAAGGGAGGGGGCAATGGAGGAGACAATGGAGGAGACAAGGGAGGGGACAATGGAGGAGACAATGGAGGGAACCAAGGAGCTGACAAGGGAGGGGACGAAGGAGGGGACAATGGAGGAGACAATGGAGGAGACAAAGGAGGAGACAAGGGAGGGGACAACTGAGGGGACAATGGAGGAGACAAGGGAGGAGACAATGAAGAGGACAACAGAAGAGACAATGGAGGGAACTATGGAGGACACAAGGGAGGGGACAAGGGAGGGGACAAGGGAGGAGACAAGAGAAGGGACAAGGAAGGGGACAAGGGAGGGAACAAGGGAGGGGACAAGGGAGGAGACAAGGGAGGAGACAACGGAGGGGACAAGGGAGGGGACAAGGGAGGGGACAATGGAGGAGACAAGGGAGGAGACAAAGGAAGGGACAAGGGAAGGGACAAGGGAGGGGACAAGGGAGGGTACAAGGGAGGAGACAACGGAGGGGACAAGGGAGGGGACAAAGGAGGGGACAACGGAGGGGACAAGGGACGTAGCGCTGCGACCGCGGTTTAGTACCTAAGAGTTTTGTTGTTGTACGGCCAGAGCTATAATCTTCCCTCAGACAGAGAAGATGGAGGAAGTCATTTCTGCACCACTCCTATCACGCCGTGCACCAACGTAGCGCGGGTGGGGTGTTTTAGACGCGTCCGCAGTTTGAATTTTTATAATGACTACAAGAGCTATTAAGTCAGAAGAAGGCCAGGAGGAGGCGGCTCCTATTTATTGTCACCATCAGGAAGGAGTTTGTTCGTTACCGGCTGACATGAAGGTGTCGTACAGCCTGTGCAGGACAAAGAAAGTGGGTCAGTACGTGAAGTTCCATCACGCATAGTGACTCATAAACTGTGAGACGAGCCGCGCAGCACCAAAAGGTGTGCAACCCACCCCCAAACTCTGCACTCTGTATGCAGCGCACCCCCAAACTCTGCACTCTGTATGCAGCACACCCCCAAACTCTGCCCTCCGTATGCAGCCCACCCCCGAACTCTGCACTCTGTATGCAGCGCACCCCAAACTCTGCACTCTGTATGCAGCACACACCCCGAACTCTGCACTCTGTATGCAGCACACCCCCGAACTCTGCACTCTGTATGCAGCACACCCCCGAACTCTGCACTCTGTATGCAGCACACCCCCGAACTCTGCACTCTGTATGCAGCACACCCCTGAACTCTGCACTCTGTATGCAGCACACCCCCAAACTCTGCACTCTGTATGCAGCACACCCCCGAACTCTGCACTCTGTATGCAGCACACCCCCGAACTCTGCACTCTGTATGCAGCACACCCCGAACTCTGCACTCTGTATGCAGCACACCCCTGAACTTTGCACTTTGTATGCAGCACACCCCTTAACTCTGCACTATGTACATACTGTACCCCTGAACTCTGCACTCTGAAAAGGGTTGCTCAGTCTCAAAAGGCCCGGGCCTATTTTGTATCCCAGTCTGGTCCTGGATTCTAGTGCCCGGACCTCAACCCTACCATGGCTGGATCTAGGGGGGTGCTGGGGTAGGCTATGCACCCCAGATTTTAGTTGTTTCCCTCAAAGCTATCTGTGTGGGGAGGAAGTGCTCTGAGTGCCCTGCCAGCAAAGCCCCCTGTCCTCTGCCCTGCTAAAAGTGACCCCTGTCCTCTGCCCTGCTAAAAGTGACCCCTGTCCTCTGCCCTGCCAATTATGACCCCTGTCCTCGGATCTGCTGATCCCTATCCTCAGTTCTGCTGTCCTCAGCTCTGCTGCCTCCTGTCCTCAACTCTGCTGCCTCCTGTCCTCAACTCTGCTGCCTCCTGTCATCAACTCTGCTGCCTCCTGTCCTCAGCTCTGCTGCCTCCTGTCCTCAGCTCTGCTGCCTCCTGTCCTCAGCTCTGCTGCCTCCTGTCCTCAGCTCTGCTGCCTGTCATCTCTCTGCTGCCTCCTGTCCTCAGCTCTGCCCTGCTGACCTTTCATCCTCTGAACCCCTGACATTTTTTATTGCACTCCCACATCAGACAGGCTAGATCCGGCCCTGAACCCTATCCAACATCTTTGAGATGAATTGGAAGATGGAGATGATGAGTCGGGTCTTCTCATCCAACATCACTACCTGACCTCACAAAACGACCACAAATTCCCAGAGACACCCTCCAAAATCTTGAGGAAAGTCTTCCCAGAAGAGTGGAGGATGATATAACCACAATGGGAAGACCACCTCCATATTAATGTCCATGCTTCTTCTGGAAGGGGATGTCCACCAATCTCACACAGGTGTGGAGGCCAGTTGTCCACACTTTCGGCCATCGGTTTGCAGGAAAAGAATAGTGAATGAAGTTTTTCCTTTTCTGTAAAGCGAGGCTCAGAGACGTGAACAGCAAAGAGGCGCCCCAGAAATGTTGTCATGTTCCCACCGAAAAGGCCTCTATTCCTGCAAAGAACACGCCTCGCTCTGCAATGTTCTTCTTTCCTTCTTCACGTCACAAAGGATAAAATCAATCATTGCAGAGTGAAGCAATTACTGTATATTCTGGAGCTCCCGTCCTCACCTGCCCACCATTATCACATCATCACACACAGAAGACACGAACAGCTGCCTAGAGGCCCGCTCCTCCAAGCCCAATACAGGGGACCTCCGCAAGTAGTGACGGCTTTAATTACATTCCAGCTGCTGGTATAAATGGTGATCAACTCATGGAAAAACCCTTCCTTCTACACTGGCTGCATGCTTTTTTTTTTTTTTTTTTCCTTGGTGTCTCCATCGAAAAAATAAAAGTGTAATAAACTGCAAAATAAACAAAAAGATGGCAAACGGTAACAAACCCCCCCTTTATATATTATTATTATTATTATACAGGTATTTATAAAGCGCCAACAGTTCGCTCAGCGCTGTACATTACAATGAGAGACAGTACATGTGACAGAACAATACAATGCGATACACAAGTGGTTTGAGGGCCCTGCTCCTTGGAGCTTACAATCTAGGAGGGAGGGGGGGTAGTGGTACAGGAGGAGATAGCTGTGGGGGATGGAGTGGTAGGAGGAGTGGGCAGGAGGTCGGCAGTTAGGTGAGGGTGGGGTAGGCTTCCCTGAAGAGATGGGTTTTCAGGGTGCACCTAAAGGTGAGGAGGGTAGGTGACAGTCTGATGGATTGGGGTAGTGAGTTCCAGAGGATGGGGAAGCCCTGGAGAAGTCCTGGAGTCGGGCATGGGAGGAGGAGACCAGGGAACTAGAGAGTAGGAGGTCTTGTAAGGAGCAGAGAGTGCGTGTTGGGCGGTACTTGAGTATCAGGTCAGTGATGTAGTTTGGGGAAGTATTATGAATGGCTTTGTATGTCTGTGTTAGTAATTTGAATTTTATGTGTTGGGCAATCGGAAGCCAGTGGAGGGATTGGCAGCCAGGGGGTGGAGGCCAGTGGAGGGATTGGCAGAGGGGGGTGGGGGACACTGAGTGGAGGCCAGTGGAGGGATTGGCAGAGGGGGGTGGAGGACAGTGGAGGGATTGGCAGAGGGGGGTAGAGGACACTGAGTGGAGGTCAGTGGAGGGATTGGCAGAGGGGGGTGGAGGACACTGAGTGGAGGTCAGTGGAGGGATTGGCAGAGGGGGTGGAGGACAGTGGAGGCCAGGAGATTGGCAGAGGGGGGTGGAGGACACAGTGAGAGTGGGATTGGCAGAGGGGGGTAGAGGACACTGAGTGGAGGTCAGTGGAGGGATTGGCAGAGGGGGGAGGTGGAGGAGGCCAGTGGAGGGATTGGCAGAGGGGGGTGGAGGACACTGAGTGGAGGCCAGTGGAGGGATTGGCAGAGTGGGGGTGGAGGACACTGAGCGGAGGCCAGTGGAGGGATTGGCAGAGAGGGGTGGAGGACACTGAGCGGAGGCCAGTGGAGGGATTGGCAGAGGGGGTGGAGGACACTGAGCGGAGGCCAGTGGAGGGAATGGCAGAGGGGGGTGGAGGACACTGAGCGGAGGCCAGTGGAGGGATTGGCAGAGAGGGGTGGAGGATACTGAGTGGAGGCCAGTGGAGGGATTGGCAGAGAGGGGGGGGTTGGGGGATACTGAGCGGTTGATGAGCGGTGGATGAGTGAGTCTGGCCACAGAATTCAGGATAGACTGAAGCGGGGATAGCCTGTGATGGGGTAGGCGGTGAGGAGGGAGTTACATCTCTGCAGGCTTCTCATTCTTCTATTCTGAGAGTGTCAGGTGTGCCAGGAACTTCTGCTCCGAGGGTGACAACACTGGCTTCATTCCAGGTTCACACCGAAGCGTTTTGTGGTGCGTTTTGCCTTTTGCAGAAACGCACTACAGTTAGGGTTGCCACCTCATCCCTTTAAAACCGAACACATATTCGTTACGCAGATTCTGTGGTCGATGAAGGTGGTAATTTATTGCTTCCCGACCGCCCGATAGCAGAAATACTGCTACAGGGCGGCATGGCCCACATGGAACAAAATATATTTTAAAAATATTCTTCCCAAATATATTGACACATATTTGAAATGTTACAATTTTGGCCGTATTCAATATATTTCACAATATATTTAAATAAATAAATAAAAAGTCCAAATTTTTTTTTTTTTTTCTCAAAATTGTCTGTCTTCTTTTTTAATAGCGCTAAAAATAAAAAACGCACAGGCGATCAAATACCACCGAAAGAAAGCTCTATTTGTGGGAAAAAAGAGAAATAAATTCAATTTGGGCGTGGCATTGCATGACTGCAAAATTGTCAGAGTAACGCAGCGCCGTAATGCAAAAAAAAAAAATGGCCTGGTCAGGAGGGGGGGGGGGGGGGGGGAATCCTCAGAAGGGCAAGGGGGGGGGGGGGATCCTCAGGAGGGGGAGAGGTTAATACCAAAAAGTCCAAAATATAGTTTTTTTCTCAAAACTGTAAGTCTTCTTTTTTAATAGCGCAAAAAATAAAAACGCACTGATTGCTTTTATACCCATAAAGACTGGAAAAGCAATCATTTCTCCTTCTCTCTGGCTGCATTCTTGCAGCCATTGAGAACTACTGTGAGAGCTGCGATTGGTCACAGCTTGTACCATACAGGGCTGTTGTGAATGGCCCTGTACCATGTGATCTCTGTAATCATTCACAGATTTCACATGTAGTAAGCAATGATGTCAGAAGTGACATCTTGTCTACTACTGTTGATGTGATCACTGATTGGCCAATGATGAAACCTGGGTGACACTCCACAGACGGTGCAAGTGCTAGCATGTTTCGGGGGGTATACCCTCTTCTTCGGGTCTTTGGCTTGCTAGGTGACTGTGGTTTATGTCAACATTATTTGCTTGCTGTCACTCGACTCCTGTGAGTATATTTGTATTGTTTTCTCAATAAATGGTGTCAGAAATAATTCACATTTTTGTTTTGTTATTAAAAAGCTAAAGATTCCCCGGTCTCAGAACAGCAGCAAAGCCGGCAGCATATCTGGGTACTCTGCTGAAGACTCTGGCTATCGGGGCCTTTTGTTCCACGACTGTCTATTGCTTCTTACATCGATGTAGCTCTGGTGTGGTGCTGTTCTTCGTCTACGTTATGTTCCGTCTTCCCTTCCTCTTTCTATAGACACTTCCTCCTCCTCATCTACTTTGCCTCGGAATCCATCTGGTGTTCCTCCCAGATCCTGCTGTTTGCTCCATCTAAGGGGTCTTTTCACACTACGGTGTCACCGTATCTGCATCTGTTTCCTTCTTACAGATTTGCATGCATCTCCCGCTCATGTGCATGCGACCATAATCACGTTCGTGATTCTGCACCGAAGAATCCATCTCCCTTTATATAATCTTCTTCTGACACCCTCCATTTGTATGTTTTGTTTTTATTTTCATTCTCAGGTTTGACTCTTAATGTGCTTCAGGTTGATCTCAGTGACTGACCTTTCTAGCCTTTGCTGTCTCCCAGGTCTTCCATTAGCTTCTAATTGATACATTAACTTACCAAAAGGAAGCCTCTAGGTCACGGGTGTCAAACTGGTGGCCCTTCAGCTGTTGCCAAACTACACGTTCCATGAGGCATTGCAAGATTGACAAGTTGCAAGCATGACTCCCAAAGGCAGAAGCATGATGGGACTGTTGTTTGGCAACAGCTGGAGGGCCACCAGTTTGACACCCCTGCCCTAGGCCTTCTGGATTCTGCTGCAGCCCTCTACATCGGGCAACTGGGTGACCTACAGATCACGTTAAAGCCCAGGTCCAGGCTCAGCCCCCCCCTTAGCAGCCATCCTGGAGGTCTCTTAGCTGAATTTTATCTTCTTCTGATCTTCTCTGGCCCTGGGGAAGTCCTCTGGTACTGACGTAATGGCAGTTTCAATAAAGCTGGAGGGCTGCCAGTTTGACACCCCAGCTCTAGGTCTTAGAAAGTTAGGTCCAAAATATACTTTTAGAGGAAGTTATTTAAATAGACAGTACATCACTGACTGTTGTGTGCGCTGAGACATTTATCAACGCCAAAGAAAGTTTGATACACTTTATTCAACTTGGTGCAAGCAGTTTTCTTGACCATGCGTCTGCTGTCTGCTTTGGGTTTTGAACAAACTAAGCTTCTCACTCATCTTTCAATATCAAACCATCTAACTAGATATAACTAACCAGTCTACCATTTGACTGCTACCAGAAAAAAAACATCTAAAAGTTGAACTCAAGGTAATATGCTCAAAGAAAATAAAGTAAGCCATGACCCCACCATCACCAGGGACCCTAATGCCACCAGGGCCCTGATGAAGACCAGGTATTTCCAAAGTCTATGCCTTGGTGAAAGCCTATCTTGACTTTACCCTGCTCGTGCTTCAAAGACAAAATATCTTCCACTTGGAACTATCCCAGGATCCTCGCATCTAGAGTATTCAGAGAACTCAAGTTAATATGCTCAAAGAAATGAAAATAGACCATCAGAGGCTCCCATAAAAGACCGGTATTCCTAAAGTCTACACCTTGGTAAAAGCCTTTCAAAGACAAAGTATCTCCTCCTTGGATCTAACCCAGGATCCATGCACTTAGTGTATTCAGAGAACTCAAGTTAATGAGCTCAAGTAAATGAAAATAGGCCATGACACCACCATCAGGGGCCCTGATGAAGACTAGTATACCCAAAGTCTACCTCTTGGTGAAAGCCTATCTTGACTTTACCCTGCTGATGCATCAAAGACAAAGTATCTTCCACTTGGATCTATCCCAGGATCCTTGCACCTAGTGTATACAGAGAACTCAAGTTAATGAGCTCAAGTAAATGAAAATAGGCCTGACACCACCATCAAGGGCCCTGACGAAGACTGGTATACCCAAAGTCTACTCCATGGTGAAAGCCTATCTTGACTTTACCCTGCTGATGCATCAAAGACAAAGTATCTTCCACTTGGATCTATCCCAGGATCCTTGCACCTAGTGTATACAGAGAACTCAAGTTAATATGCTCAAACAAATGAAAATTAGCCATGACCCCACCATCAGAGGATTGATAAAGACCAGTATTCCTGAAGTCTACATCTTGGTAAAAGCCTTTCTCTACTGTACCCTGCTGGTGCTTCAAAAACAGTATCTTCCACTTAGCCAAGATCCTTGTACCTAGTGTATTCATAGAACTCAAGTTAACAAGGAAATTAAAATAAGCCATGACCCCAGTATCAGGGCCTCTGATGAAGACCAGGTATTCCCAAAGTCTACACCTTGGTGAAAGCCTATCTCCACTTTACCCTGCTGATGCATCAAAGACAAAGTATCTTCCACTTGGATCTAACCCAGGATCCTTGCACCTAGTGTATTCAGAGAACTCAAGTTATGCTCAAAGGAATGAAAATAGGCCATGACCCCACCATCAGAGGCTCTCATAAAAGGCTGGTATTCCTGAAGTCTACACCTTGGTAAAAGCCTTTCTCCACTTTTCCTTGTTGGTGCTTCAAAAACAGAGTATCTTACACTTGGATCTATCCCAGGAGCCTTGCACCTAGTGTATTCAGAGAACTCAAGTTAACAAAGAAATGAAAATAAGCCATGACCCCAGTATCAGGGGCTCTGATGAAGACCTGGTATTCCCAAAGTCTACACCTTGCTGAAAGCCTATCTCCACTTTACCCTGCTGATACATCAAGGACAAAGTATCTTCCACTGGGGTCCATCCCAGGATCCTTGCATCTAGAGTATTCAGAGAACTCAAGCTAATATGCTCAAATAAATACAAATAGGTAATTAATCCACTATCAGGGGCTCTGAAGAAGACCTGATATTCCCAAAGTCTACACCTTGGTGAAAGCCTATCTCCACTTTACCCTGCTGATGCATCAAAGACTCTTCCACTGCAATCCATCTCAGGATCCTTGCATCTGGTGTATTCAGAGAACTCAAGTTAACAAAGAGATGAAAATAAGCCATGACCCCAGTATCCGGGGCTTTGACGAATGGTTGCTCCTTTCCTAATAACCTCCCTCACCAGAAGGTAGTCCGGAGCCCTGGTCCGGTCCCATGTCCCCCTCTCTGTCCTGGAAGCCACACACTTTGTCGTTCTCTCTCCCCCCTCCCCCTTTCCTCCTCCCCCCTTCTTTTCTCCCTCCCTCATTATGGTTTCTCCTATGTTTATAACAACTGCACCTTTACTATAGGCCAGTAGGCCTCATGTCTTCATTCGTTATCCTTATTGTAAATGTATTTTGCATATCGCTGTAAGCCTTACACCCTTAAAACCCAATAAAATGTTTGAACAAGAAAATAAGCCACGACCCTGTTATCAGGGGCTCTGATGAAGACCTGATATTCCCAAAGTCTACGCCTTGGTGAAAGCCTATCTCCATTTACCTGTGGGTATGCATCAAAGGCAAAGTATCTTCCACTGGGGTCCATCCCAGGATCCGTGCACTTAGTGTATTCAGAGAACTCAAGTTAATGAGCTCAAGGAAATGAAAATAGGCCATGACCCCACCATCAGGGGCCCTGA